AAATTTTTGCTAGGGTTAAACAAGTTTGGCTTTCATGAGTTTCAAGGTGCAAGAAATTATCAGTATAATTATAGCACACAAACATTGTCATCTAATTTTTCGCACGTAGCCGGAATAAGCCAAGAAATGAAGCATATATTACGAAAAATCTATGATCTCCATATTAAGTAAATTATACTAAACGTTGCGAAAGAAATTGTTGTTTGTATCCGTCTTATCCATCGTAAAAGCGATGAGTCATCGCATGACATTCGGTATATTAAACAGAGGTAATACTCACGGGTTTCACGAGTTGTATGCACTATCTTTCGCCGAGAAACAAATTTAAACTTCAATTCTTACCTTACAGTAGTCCGTTCTTTTACCTTGCTTTCGACAACAAATCTGTTAAAGGCGAACAAAGCGATTCCGGCACTCTTCTTTATGATGAGTAGCAAGCAGCAGGAACTGAAGCCGCTTGACTGAAGTAAAATCCACCGATATGCACAGCATTCTCACTACAAATATAAACAAACATCGAGGGGAAACAAAGACGAGGAGGAAAAAATGCCAGATCTTCGCCTCGGTAATGTATTCCAGCTACCATGCCGGCGTATCTCCAGAAGGTGGACTCGAAGTGGGACCTTGTGATTTTTTGCGCGCAAACTAATTTATTCTGGCGCGAAATGAAGATTAACAATATGTATACTGAAATCTAATCCACGACAAGAAGATTTTCACACTGTAGCGCGACATATTAAATGCCTATTTTTACAAGTACGCGGAGAAAGTGGTCCACTAGTTTAACTTTTTTAAGATGAATTTACTCCACAAAAGCAAAATGAAATGTTTTATCTCTATGTTGTTTACGTGCCTGATTAGAAGGCAGAAGTAAATTCATCATAAAGACCCCATCAAAATGAAAGTACACGAATGAAACGGAATAAGTCTGGGACGGTTTAGTTTCTACTCAGCAGCTTCTTTGCTTTTATATCAAAAATTTAATGTTGCAGTCTGTTTTAAACGTTGGCATATCAACGCGCACAGTCATTGAATGAAAACAACAGTCACGATCACGTTCTTCGAAACCGACCAGACGCGCACGACCTACCACTGTTATGGTAAGCAATTATCCTGAAGGTGTTAATGTTCCCATGACAGTCTTCGCACTGAAGGTGTAAATGGTAAACCGAACGGTCGCTTTGATCGTCAGAAAGACCTGTCAACTTTGATGATTTAACTGATTAAATTACGGGACAGAAATTTTACTGCTTGCGGCTCCTCGTGGTACTATATAAGTACATCATATTTCTTCTCAGGAAACACCAATGATCCGTTTCGGCAACAGCAAGGCCTTGGTGAATTATGCAAATGTATCATATTTCACTCAAAAGTTGTTCAAGTTCAGAACTTTCATCTAAAGCGCTAATTAAATTACCCAAACCAGTTCTTACATATGTTTTAGCACAGTGTTTAAGTAACTTACAGCTCGAGTTTCGGAAAAACCAAGGTGTAGCACATGCCTAAAAATTAAATCGCGACTTGAAGCCTAAATTTAAACTTCGTTGAGCTGAAAAAAAAAACAAAACTAAAATAAAAATGTTTACCTTCCACATTATCGTTAAGATAAGAATTAACCGCCATACTAGGGCTAAAACCCTTTATAAATTGATTTATCGCGAAATATTTTACCACGCTTTCTTCCTTTTTGCGTGCGAGGGAAGTTTTGAGACCGCCTCATTTTGCCTCAAATTTTGGTTGTTTTCAAGTCGCCGACCACGAAAATTGATTTTGTCGATTTTCTCTAAATAAAAGCGGCCTTTTGAAAAACAAACTACACCACGTTTAGTTACTCAATAATAAGTATGTATGAACAACATATGAGCGAAATTTAATTTTTGACCGTGGCCACCAGTTGCTCAATATTTACAGACGTTCGCTCTTAATAAGGTAAAATCTTGAGGTCAGAAAAAGTCTTAAATTCAAGATTTTGGAAAGGTAAAATCTTCAATTCAGCAAAAACCTTGAATTCAGGTGATAATGAAGCTAAAATCTTAAAGTCAGCTAAAATTTTAAATTCCAGATTTTGGATACCGAAAACCTTTAAGTTATCCAAAATCTTAAATTCAAGATTTTGGAAAGCTTAAATCTTGAACTCAAGATTTTGGAAAGATAAAATCTTAAATTCTAGATTTTGGAAAGCTAAAAGTTTAAAGTCAGCCAAAATCTTCAATTCAAGATTTTAGAAAGCTAAAATCTTAAAGTCAGCCAAATCTTGACTTCAGGATTTTGCAAAGCGAAAATCTTGAGGACAGCCAAAATCTTGAATTCAAGATTTTGCAGAGATAAAATCTTAAATTTAGCCAAAATCTTGAAATCAATATTTTGGAAAGCTAAAACCTTGAAAAAAAACCAAACACTTGAGT